AACCGGTGGCAATAGTTTAGTAGTAGGAAGTCTACTTTGTAGCTGTGGAGACTAATAATTTCCAAATGTCACTATACTTTTCAAAGAAGTTGTGATTATTGGGCCATAATTGTAGTTATTAGCTATCCATTTTAAGTTTCTAACTTAAGGAGCTCCAAAAAGTAAAAACAAAAATACAATCAAAATGGGTCGCGTCAGTTGGTCAGTAAACTCGGTTCCCGACTTGATAGTCCAATCCAATCAATTACCCGAATCAAACATGACCCAAATATGAGGGCCGAGAAACACAAGGCCTAAATCCATATATTAGGTGAATCTGTTTCGTTTTGGGTCGAGCTACCAATTGCTGGAAGCATTTCAAAAAATTAAGAAGGGTTTTTTAATCTTTGCTAATGAAACACATTTTTATCATAAATATATAAAAAAATATAAAAATTAACATTAATTTTAGTATTAGTGTCAAATTAATAAATTTAATTAGATAATTGATAAAAGTCAACTTTTATTTTTCTAACATAAATTTATAACAAAAAAATATTTAAAATAATTTTAATTTGTGTCTTCAGAAAAACCTAATTGTAAGAAATATACCTTTAATCGATGAACAAAATTAGAAATTGACTTTAGAAAAAGATTTAAAATACTAAATCCCACTTGATTTATCAGAGGCTTGGGGTGCTCAGAAGGGAAGTCTTTCTACTTGAATGGTATTGTTCTTCTATAGTTTGGTCATCCCAGTATACCACTGAGCATTGCCCCAGTGTTAATGTTTTATCTGGGGAGCGGAATGTTATGTGTAGTGTTGCCATCATGTGGACGAGGGGGATTAGTCCTGCGATCTTTTTCTTCTTCTTCTTCTAATTATATAATAAATGATAATTTTTTATAATTTTATTATTTATTTAACGTACATGTATATAATTTGAATGTTTGGAGTGGAATTCGAATTTTATATCTCCAAATTATAATATAAGAAGGTTTTATAAAAGGACAAGGTAATTACTAAATTATAAAGATATTTTTGTACATGTATATAATTTGAATTTAAAATTTTTTAATAAAAGAAATAGTATTAAGCTAATTTAGGTCGTTAGTGGCCTGTGATCTTCTTGTTCAATGTTTTTCTGATATTTAATTAATTAATAACAGTTAGCTATTTACATAAAAATAACCAAAAAGAGCTACAAAATTGAAAGTATAACAACTTTTAAACATTTCCCTTTTGTTTTGTTTCTTTCTTTCTTTCTTTTTTTGGGGTCAGAAATAACATCACTTTTCGCTGCTAATTGGTTGTCTTATGTCATACTGTCTTAAGAACGTGCTATGTTTGTGGTATCATCCTTTTTCTTTTTTTATTTTTATTCTTATTTTTAAGTAATGGATGGTAGATGGACTCGCACGTCTACCAAGTCCCTGCTGTCCTCTCGTTTGTAATAATATTTTTAAGGGTTTTTTTAAAGTTACGTAATAATTATTATATTATTTTATATTTATTAAAATCAAAAAATAAAAATTAATTTTTATTTAAATAATTATTTTATTAAAATTATTTATATAGTATTGATAATAAAATTAATAATAATTTTATATTTTTAAATATTAATTAATATTAAAAAATATAATAATAATATTCTGAATTTATATTTAAAATATATAACTTAAAAAAACCTTTTTTACAATTAGCTTTCTCGTATTTTCTTACCCTCAAATATTTTCGATTTCTATTGTAATTGAAACTAAATTATTGGTCAACTAAAAAATTGATTATTAAATTTTAAAAATCGTTAACTAAACTAAGAAATTTAATTTTATCAGCTTTGATTAATTTTTTAAAAATAATTATTTGGTTGGATTTTAATTTTAACCAAAAAAACTAATCCTTCATTTTTTTAATTTCTTAATTTTTAAATTATTATTTTATCAATATCCATCATAAAAAGAAAATTACTTAAGAAAATACATAATAAATAATTGGGTAAAAAATGGTGGGAGAACTTTAAAAGAAATTTAAAAATCAAAAATTTTTTTATATGAAATGTTTTTAAGCCGATTTTTTTAGGTTGTATTAGTCATTATATTTTTTTATTTTTAGACCTTGTAATGAAAACCGAGTCATTTGAGATTACTATAAATTTTAGTCAAAAAATTCAAAAACTGTTCAAATCCAATCTATCAATTATAGCTTCAATTAAGTTTAGCTAATTGTTTTGGTTGCGGTCAATTCTGCCTACCCCAAATAATGTCCTCGTTAGGAATTTTTTTTTTTTCAAGCAAAGGAAAGTTTTTTGGCGTGTGATTCGTACCTTTATAGTTAGTGATTTGTACCTTTGTAGTTAGCAGAATCCCAAATTCACCATCCAAATAAAAATATAAATATATATTCGTCTTTAAAAAAGATAAGGGTAAGTTACTTTTTTTTTTTTTTTTTAATAAATTCGTAAAGAGTCGGATTCAAATCGTTGTCTAAAGCTGAAGAAATATACTTATACATAACCTAACGCCACTTGACTCCAAGACCCAAGTGCGGGTAAGTTACTTTTTAAAATTATTATTTAAAATAAATTATATATTATTTAACATGTAATATCACTATACACTAAAAATTTATTTATTACTTAACAAAAAAATTAATGTATGATGATGTTATATATTTAATAATTGATAATTTATTTTTATGTTTTTTAGAGATAAATTTATCTTTACTCCTTAAATAGGTAAAGTCGAGAGTTTGAACTTTATAATTTGTAATAATTAAGTGTAAAATTCAATGCCTTGTATCTTAATACCTAGTGTTAAAAGGGTTGGGCCACTAAGTCACCTAGTGGTGGGCTTGAAATGTTCATTTAAATATGCAAGGAAACATCACAACAATTTCTTCTCCCTTTCCTCGCCAACAGAACAGTCTCTCTGTTTGAAAAGGTTCATTCAAAATGTCTGCTTCAATTTTTTTCTTCCTCCTTTGTTTAACATATGAATCACGTGACGATATTTGGCAAATGAGGTGAATGAACAGTGAGTCAGCAGAGAAACTAGACAAACATATTCTCCGTACTAAAAATAATATTATAGACTTTATTTCAAAAATAATTATAAATAAGAT